GGCGCTGCCGCACCTCCGCAGGGCGCTGGCGAGGAGAGTGGGGCAGAAGCCAGCTGGCCAGAGAAATCCCCGCAAAATGTGACCTGGGGCACGAGGTGAAGCCAGAGCAATGGCAGCAGAAACCACGGGGCGTCCTGCAGCTGCAGCTGGCTGAGAGCCAAGAGCTCACAGGCAGGAGCCTCTGACATAGGGACCCGGAGGGGAGCAGGCGACCAGAGTGTAGCTGTGGCTGCCTCATGTCTGTCTCATATTCACCTGCCTTATGTGCAGGTGATGTGGGCCTGCAATTGAATCTTTATTCCCGGTGCTGGCCTCACAGAGCTAAGAGTTTATAACAGAGGGGAAAAAAAAAAAAAAAAAACAAAAACAAAAACAAAACCACCAGGCTCACGTGAGAGCGGGATTTATTTAACAGAGAATATACACTCACACGTGCCTGTGGACCACCCCACACAGAGATACCTGTCACGCGTGGGCCCCAGTTACCTGTGGGGGGAGGGGAAGCCGGAGAGGGAGGGATTCACATGCTCCATCAGCCTCCCGTGAGATAGAGGGAGGCGCCCTAACCGAATGCCTAAATACAGTGAAATTGGGCTTGTGTGCGGCACTCTGGGGCTTCAAGGTGCCTCCAGGTGGAGTTTAATTTCCACATGGCCATCATGGTGTTTCCTGCTTCCTGGTCCTGGATGAGCCACAAGGGTGTGGTGGGAAAGTGGGCATCCTGGGCTGACAGGTGAGGGGCGCAGAGACACAGTGCGGGGCAGGCAGAAACTCCAGCTCACCTGTCCCTGCCTGAGCTTCCTGCCGACTCCTCCCATTCCCAAGGCGGACAGAGACGCCATGCAAGCGAATGGAGCCCAGAGTTGGCCGCCATCCTACTTTGCCTACCCCAGATGAGAACACCCGACTACTGGGTGCAACCCTGCCAAGGTGGCTTCAGGGGGAGTCCCTGCTGCCTGTGTAAGACGCAGCAGTGGGTCCTATCTTGCCTGTGGCTTCTGGTGGCCTCTAGGGATAGCAGTGGAGTCCTGTGGTTTGGGGCCTACTGTCCCTTCTCTCTTACCCAGCAGCCGCGTGGCTTACGTGGACCAGAGGGTCAGTCCTGGAACTGCAGGTGTGAGCTGAGGGCAGGAGGTGCTGCCTCAGTGCTGGTATCTCAGAGAGCCGGCCACCTGCCCCTGCAGTCGCTGAGTTCCCTCCGGCCCTGCTCTGCCAGCTGAGAATCCTGTGCACCTGTGGCTGCTGGGCCTTTCTCATGACCGAGGGAGTGAGGAGTCCGGCTCATGACGGCACCCTGAGGCTGGTGGTCACTGAGAGCCCATGACCAGAAGCCTCCTCTCTCCCAGGGCCCAGTCTCAAACCAGGAGTCACACTCACATGTTATGCTTGTCCCTGCTGCGAGTGGCACGGGACACTGGGAGCCCATGTCCTGATTCTCCATTAGGAATAGCCCTGGGGGCTGGTGCTGTGGTGCAGTGTGTTAAGCTGCCATCTGCAGTGCCAGCATCCATATGGGCGCTAGTTCAAGTCCTGGTTGGTCCACTTCTGATCCAACTCGCTGCTAATGTGCCTGGGAGAGCAGTGGAGGATGGCCCAAGTACTTGGGTCCCTGCCCCATCTGCAGCGATTTAGGGAGTGAGCCAGTAAGCCAGTGGAAGGAAGATCTTCCCCTTTCTCTCTCTCCCAAGTGCCCCAAAAGGAAGTGCAAGATGCAGAGGACAGAGCACGGCCAGGAGATACCAGAGGGACGGACGGGAGAAGTAGATACCAGGTGGGGCAGAGGATCTGTCTAGACTGATCTCTGAATTCTAAGAAATTCTCACTGTCACGAGCCAGCCTGGTGGAGGGCGAGGGAGAGGGAGGGGCCCTTTCCTACACCAGGTTTCAGCAGCTGGTTCATGGCCTGTGGGTTGAAGAAGGCTTAGCCAGCTCAGGATTGTGTAGCGCAGATTCAGGGCCCAGTCACGGGAGACTGGGGCACAGGAACACAGGCACAGGTTTGTGGGCAGCAAGCAGCATGGACGCTCCACTTGAGGGGTCGTTCTCGGAGAGATTCATCCTCCAAACAAAGAGGAGGCTGAGCCCATCCCAGGATGAGGGGTGGGAAGGCCTTTGGGAACCAACTCCTAAGGCAGAGCGCAGGGCGTTCCTGTAACTAGAGAATGTGTCTAAGATCTTGGTCCCCCTGCAGGAAGAGAACTGTGGGATGCTCCAAGGTTAAAATGAACTAGCAAGGTTTGTTGTAAGCAAAGTCCACTCTCCGGAGTGGCAGAGTGGGCGGGCAGGTGTACAGCATCTGTGCTGAGAATCTGAGGAAGATTCCTTCTTTATTGCATCTGATGGGGGGAGGGTGGAGAATTCCTGAGACCGGAGGACTCTAGGAGTAGTCGGGGCTGTCCTGGAGCAGGGCATCGCCTGTCTTTTCTCTAACCAGGGCCTCTCCCATCTGTGATGCTGGAATCAACCACAGTGACCACACGACTGACATGATGCTGCCTATCTGGGACATTCACCACTGGGTGCCTTTGGAATTGTTGGGCCGTGGAAAGTGCTTGCAGCCCTTTGGGCCTCTCGGCTCCGCTCATATGGAGTTCTCTTCACCTACAGCTCCCATACCCAGCGACTCTGGCCCCTTCCTTCTTCTACTGGGAAACAGGACGAGTCTCTGTCTCCTGTGACCTCATCAGGCTGAGGAAGGATGTAGGCACTTCCTAGCCCAGGAGTCCAGATCCCGTGCTGAGTGGCCCAGAGTCCTATGTGAAAGTGTTCCTTTGAGGGAGTAGGGAAGACCTGGGAGACTTGGTCAAAGAGTCCTTTTTTGTTTTGTTTTGTTTTGTTTTGTTTTTGTTAGCTTTTTTAATTAACACCTGGAAGAGCCCAGTTTAAGACCCAAGTTACAAAGAGAAACACGGAATATAAGGAGAGAGACTGCAAGCAGCCGTGCCAGTGAGAGTTTGTATCCAGACTGCAAGACACTGCCTGTGCCCTCCTTTTCGTGTTAGTTTCTGTACCATTTTGTTTTTATGTATTGATTCTGTATTTTAACCTGTCATGAGCCATTAGCCCCAGTTCAGTAACACTGGTGCTATGACTTAGATCCCATCTCTTCACTATTTGTGCTTGCCATTCCCTGTTCTAACTCTGGCCCAGCGACCCAATGCAGCACACTCCACTGTGGGAGATCCCGTGAGACTGCCTGCCTAGCCCATGCAGTTATCTGAGTGCTGGCAGGCCCAGGAGCCCCAGGAATGTTTCCCCCAGTCCTGCCTCTGCCAATCAGGTAAACCGCTCCTGGGTGTGGCCCAGGCCCACCTGGAAAGCTAGGAGCCTATGTGACCTTCAAGCTGATTGAGAAGCATATCGGCAAAATACCACCTTCAGTTATAGAATTAGTGCTGCCATGAATCAGTTATGCGCCCTCTGCCTGCCCTTTACAAGGTGTGCTTGGTGCTAATAAAGCTGTCGTGTGCCCTGAAACTTGTCTCCGGTGTGTCTTATGGAAGAGTGCTGGTGCCCCACCCATGCAGACAGTGTGCGGGACTCCCAGGATGAGCCCGCAACTGGCACCCAATGTGAGGTGTGAACGCATATGGTGGGCTGGGTGCAGGCCCACAATGCCTGTCTGCTAGGTGAAGAGGGTACCTGTCTTGTTCTAGGGACCGCGGACACAGTCGTGGGCTCTTGTGTGGACATGGTTAATAATGGCTGGCCAAGGTTTCTAACTTTACTTATCTTTCTACCTCCCACCCTGTCCCTTATGTGTGCACTGTGCGTGAGCCACAGCCTGGGAAGCCAAAGCCTAACTGTTGCCCTGAAGGATGCATGCCATGCCTTCGATGTGGGGTCTGAGGCAGCTAAGGTGGAGTGTGGAAGCCCAGACCCTTTTACAGTTGCTGCTGGCATAGTGAGGGCACAAGAGAGCCTGGATGCTGAAGCAGCACCTTGACAGAAGGGACTCCATGTGGAGCACCTGAGACTCCATTCTGGGAAAGCACCCTCCCCCCACCATGAGAGTCTGGTCTGAAACTATGATCTAAAACAGTCGGACACCAGGAGTCCACTACATCTCACTTGGCAAAGCACAGAAACCCCCTAGCATGGTCGCTCAAGCTTGAAAGTAGAAAGGTTGTACCCGGGGTAATGATAAAAATGTGATTTGTCTATATCCTACATATAATTAAAACCAATAATTGGATTAATGTCAAGATTCTAATTGATGATTGTTAAGACTGTAACTGGTACTGTCAAGATTATAATGGATACTAATTTCGCATAGGTTTTAGGTTATCTTGACCCCAGGAACTATGTGCTCCCTCACCATCTTAGCGACCATGTATTCCTCTCCCGATTTTGCAGTTTTTGCCTTTATACACCCTGCTGCTTTGGGTCTCTGGGCGAGAGTTCTTGGGGCATGAGCCCCCTCTAGGCCGCCAGCAATAAAGGACTCTCAAACTCTTCAGTGTGTGGCGCTCCTCTGTCCGCACTCGCTCAGGCACAACAATGCCAAGCATCAAACTGTTCCACTTGATAGAAGATTTGTTTCCTAAATACTGTGTGCTTTATTTATGTACTAGTGTCCATGAGCTCGCGCTCCTCGCAACGGAGACAGCAGTGGGCAGCAGGGGGTGCTCCATCCACACCTCTCGCCCTGCAAGGGGAACAGCAGCCCCCCAGGTCCTCTGCACCCGGGAGTGGGGTTTTAACAAGGCCAGGAACCCAGGATGCCTGCCTGCCTGCCTGCCTGCCTCCCTGCAGCCCACCCACATGTTCTTTCTCTGTCTGTCCTCCTTCCCTCCTCCTTCTCCTTCTCCCCACCCTCCCTCCACTTTTCCTTCTGTAGGCAGAGCAACACACACACACACACACACACAGAGGGAAAGAGGAAGAGAGAGAGAGCGAGGGAATGAGGGAGAGAGAGAGCGAGGGAGCTGTCACCTGCAGTGCTCCAGGCCATGCCGGTGCTGGACTCTGACAATGTCTTGGATTGCACTGAGCCTCCCAAGGAGCGACTCCACCCAGCCAGAAAGCGGGCAAAGGTAACTTGGCAGACAGGAGTCAGCCTGCTACCTCAGAACTGCTCTGACTCCAACCTCTTTTTCCAGGGCACAGGGCCAGCAGCCAGTGGCGCGAAAAAGTCCTTGTAACTGTATGTAAATGAGTTGGCTGTCCTTAAATACGCAGTCAGTGCTGAACTCACTCACTCCGGGATGGAGCTGCTACCCCTGCGCTGTTTCACGTCCCTGCTGCTTCTGCTCCTGCCTCTGCTGGCAGCCGGGCTCCGGGCACTGCTGGCCGGTGAGTGCTTTCAGGGCAGGGGAGCAGGGCCTGGGAGAGAGGGTGGAGACCTCCTCGCGGGCCTGTGGCTACCCTGAGGCCCCTTCTCCTAGAGGTCACAGGAGGAGGATGGGAGGGGGCAGTGGAAACTGATGGTGCCCCAGGCCCGTCTTGGGGTCAGTGGGCACGGAGCCAGGGGGCGTGAATGAGTGCGGACCCTGCAGGAAGGCCATCCCCCGACTCCGCTCTGCAACCACAACTCCCCCTCCAACCACAAGCGTCCACTTGCTGCCAGCCACCACCCACTATCCCCACCGCTCACAGCCTCATCAGGCCACTTCACTCCTGAGTTGATGAGTCCTGTGAGCCCCGGGGCCATCTCAGCACAGGACCAGGAACACAGGGATTCCCTGCCAGTCTGCCTTTCTCATCCGGCCTGGTCTGTCCTGAGTCGCTTAGTCACTGGAAGCCTGTAGACTAGTTTGGCACAGGACCAGGATCCCCGGGCTTCAGGTCCAATCTGTCCCTTTCTCATCTGGCAGGTCCTGACTTCTCCCCTACCTGATGGTGTCATTCCGCTGCCTGAGGTCACCCCAGGCAGGCACACCCAGACCTCAGCCCAGGACCTGAATTTGAAGGGATGGGGCCACCATCCCCCCACCACCACCCTGGGTTCAGGCACCTTGTCCTGCACTTCACCTCGCTGCTGGGAGGCAGCACTATAGGTGACGAGCCTTGTTTTCAGAGGAGCTGGCCAACTTGTGTGCAAAGGGGACTTACTGGCTCTGAGTCATCTGTCTCCCCAGCTGCTCAATTTTTCTTGGTGGCCTCAGTGACACCACCAGCCAGGGACAACTTGCAAAGGAACTAGGGCCCAGATCTGAGCAGGGTCCCATTTGCCCACCCCAGGTTCGTGGCATCCTCAATGCCCCGGCTGTTGGAGCCCCAGCCCGCAGGGTGTCCTTCTCGAGTGGAGTCTCGGGTGTGTGTGTGAGAGTCAGCAGTGGATTCTGTCCTGCTGCAGCTTCTGGTGGCCACAGGGAGAGGAGTGGGGTCCTGTGGTTTGTAGCGTTGCTGCTACCTCTGTGCTGTCCAGCGGAGTCCTGGGTCCACGTGGGGACACTCCCTGCAGCCGCAGGTGTGAGCTCACCTCGGGGTGAGTGGTGCTGCCTCGTGCTGGCATCTGGGGACAGGCTCCCTGCTCCTGCAGCTGCTTTGCTTCATCTGGCCCTGCCCCCATACCCCCGGCTCCAGAGAATCATGTCCAGTGGCGACTGCCAGGCCTGCCTCTTGAATGACCTCGTGGGTGAGGAGCCCTGCTCATGATGGCAGCTGGGAGGCTGTGTGGTCCCCCCTAGCCTGTGGCCGGATGCCCCCCGTCTCTTCGTGAGTCCGGTCCCATACCAAGAACCACACTGAAATGGGTAGACGTCCCTTGTGTAGTGGGTGTGGCCTTGCCTGTCCACACTGGAGGTCCAGGCTAGCATTCTCCAGGTAGGAGTTGCCCGACACAGCCCCTTTCCCAGCACAGAGCTCTGGCCGTGGAGAATGGGGCAAATACAACCGCGTTCATTCATTCATTCATTCATTCACATCTTCAACCAATTTGTGGAGAGATGGGATGAAAAGGTGTCTAATTGGGCGCAGAAAATGTTTTGAAACCTGTGCACACAGAGTCCCTGTTTTCCTGGGAACATGTATTTTCTGTGAGCACCTTGAAGACCCACGTGTTGTCTGAGGTTCCTGTGGTGCTGGAAGCTCAGAGCGGGGTGGTTGCAGCTGATGCTACATGGCCTGCAAGCCCTTAGCTGGTTACTAGATATCCTCTCAGAGGGAATTCTGGGAATCAGCCTGGTATTCACCCAGTGTTCACCTGCTTCACCACCTGTCCAGCAGACTCAGCTACCTTAGAGGGTGGTCTCACCCATAATCTGTGTTAAGTTCCTGCAGGAGGAGTTTCTTCCACACGCAGGGGAGGATGACTCACACCCTGTGCTTGCAGGGCTGCCACTCAAACAGCTCCCAGCAGCTGAGAGGCCTCCCTTAAGGGAGGAATGTGAGCTGGCAGATGTCAAGGTCTTGCCCAACCCCTCCTGACAGGCTTCCTGTGATCTCCAGCCATGGGAGCCTGCGATGACTGTGAACTTAACAGACCTGCTGCTCTCTCCACCCTCCAGAGGCCCCTCTGTGGCCCAGGGTCCCTCTCCAACACCCTCCCTGCTCACTTCCTACCTAACCTACAGCCAGTACCTCCGGAGCAGTTAACAAGACACCTGCCTTTCACAGGGCGTCCACCAGGAGTTCCTCACAGGCGAGGGGCACGGGTGGCTCCAGCTCAGGAAACTGAAGTTCTGGGCTCGAGTTCTGTGTTTTACCCAGGACCGGCATCCATGGGATGTACGTGGAGATCTGCGGTCTCTGGTGGTGGACGTTGGTGTCCTCGTGTGCTCACTCCCCGAGTTACCTAGACTTTCCTTCACCCAGAGGCGTGCAGTGAGAGCCGTTGCTGTTTCCCACTGCCTGCCTCTCGGGAAACCTTGTTCTCAGTCCTGCCCTCCTAGGCACACCTGTCTCTGTCTTTCTCTTGCCTCTTGGAGTCAGTTCTGCCAGATGCTCCCAGAAGACAGTGGCTGCCCAGGGACCATGCACACCATGGTTTGCACTTCCTAAGCACGTGGTGTCGGAGTTTCTGTTCAGATGCATGTGAGCTTAGGGACTGTGTGTGCTTACACAGGACTCCTGTCACCAGCTCCCTCTGAGTCTCAGGGGCCATGCCAAGGACCCTGTGTACTTGGTCAGAGAACCTGAATGAATTACAAGGAGCACAGGTGGGAGAAAGTCAGGAGCCAGTGATGGAGTTGCCATGGCAGGAAGTGATCTCCCTGCGTCCCAGCCCCGCCCATCAGGTGGGCTCTTGAGTGTCTTGGAGCTGGGGGAGAGGTTGAGTGTGAGTCCTTTCTCATCCCCACACCTCACTCGTGTTTCTCTTCCACAGATGCTCACTCCCTCTGCTACAACATAACTGTCAATCCCAAGGCCAGACCTGGACAGCAACGGTGTGATGTTCAAGGTCACGTGGATGACAGGAGGATTCTGCACTGTGACTGCAGCTTCACTAAGATCAGCTTTTTTGACCCCCTTGGGAGGGAAGTGGATGCCATTGACAACTGGGCAGAGCAGACAGAAATGCTGCGAGATGTGGTGGACGCCCTCAACCAGCAAGTGGCTGAAATGAAACGTTCCACAAGCAAGGGTGAGCCTGAAAGTCCCTGGGCAGAGGACAGGTATTGTGAACCAGGACTGAGGATTTCCATGTGCAGAACTGGACACTGCTCTTCCTTTGGAGGCCCAGCGACAAGGTGGGAGTGGTAGGATCAGGGCCAGGTGATGCAAAGGGGACGGGAATGCAGGATCCCAGGTGGGGCAAAGGGTCTGTCAAGACTGATCTGGGCATGGGGACTTCCTTATGTTTCTGTGAAGTTGCAAGTTGGCCCCACTCAGGTGCCCCAGGAGGAAGTGCAGGATGCAGAGGACAGAGCAGGGCCAGGACATACCAGAGAAACGGATGGGAGAAGTGGATCCCAGGTGGGGCAGAGGACCTGTCAAGACTGATCTCTGACAATGTCTTTCCAATGGGGCAGATCCCCTGAGCCTGCAGGGCAGGATGTGCTGCTGGCGTGGAGCCAGCGGCGGCAGGCACGGGTCCTGGCAGTTCAGCTTCGATGGACAGATCGGCCTCCTCTTTGACCTGGACGCCAGAATGTGGACAGAGGTTCATCCTGGGGCCAGCTGGTTGAAGACAACCTGGGAGAATGACAGGCAGCTGACTGAGTTCTTGCGGAAGGTGTCCGTGGGAGACTGCACAAGGTGGCTGGGGAACTTCTTGTTGCCCAGGGAGGAGATGCTGGAGTCTACAGGTAACTAGGGCCAGGGGTGGCGGGAAGGGGTTTTCCCTGGAGATGAGGTGAAGCCACCATGTGCGTGTGTGTGTGCAAGGGTTTTGGTGCAATGGTGTGGTTGCCGGTGGATATGCGTGTGGGAACATGGATTTGTGTGCATGCTGTGTGTCTGTGTGTGCATGTGAGGATGTAGGCATGAATGCATGTGTGTGTGTTGTGCCGGTGTGTGCATGTCTGTGTGTGTGTGTCTGAGAACGTGATCCAGTGCTGTGTCCCTCCCTATGACAGCAACAGCATGGCTGCCTTTCCCAGGAGCAGGAGCTGGAAGGCCTCTCCTGGGGTTTGGAGTCTGCATGGGGGCCTCCAATCTTCTGCTTCCATTTCAGCGCAGCCACCCACAACCTCAGGAGCCGTCCCATCCAAGGTCACGGCCACCATGCCCATGTCCTGGACTTTTCTCCTGCTCCTCACCGGCTCAGTCCTCCTTGTCAGGTAAGGGGAGCCATTCTGAGTGACAGGTATGGAGGGCAGCACGGGAGGGAAGCACGGGGCAGATGGCTGGCTTGGGAAATGGGAAAGGGATTCCCTGAGTCCACCCCTGCCCTCTGAGCTGGACCTGCTTGTGTGGAGATGAGTCCCGGAGAAGCAGACCTCATGTTCCTCAGTAGAAAGCTGAGCCCCACCCTCTGAGTCACCAGCACCTTCCCCAGGGACTCTTAGTGTAGTCAGAAAAAATCCACACTGAGAGTCTGAACATGCAGAGCACCATCCATCCCTCCGTCTCCTCCATCCCTACCCCACCCTTTTCCTTATCAGGTGATCTTCTGCTGTTTCTGCCTTTGTGCCTTAGGTGTTTTCACTAGCTTGACCCGTGCAGTTGATGCAAGATGTGATATGGAAGCTTGAAGAACTTGAGGCAAATGGGATGGAGACATTGGGCTGCCAGAGAAGGCTGATGCACAAGTTTGTTTTTTTTTTTTTTGTCTTTCTTTCTTATTTAAAATTTCTATTTAATAAATACAAATTTCAAAATTACAACTTTTGGATTATAGTGGTTTTTCTTCCTATAACCACCCTCCCACCTGCAAACCATCCCATCTCCTACTCCCTCTCCCATCCCATTCTTCATTAAGATTCATGTTTAATTATCTTTATATACAGAGATCAACTTAGCATATCCTAAGTAAAGAATTCAACAGTTGATGCATACGTACTCATCACAAAATTTCTTTTATCCAGTCTTCAGTTAATGGGCATTGGGGTTAGGCCGGCGCCGCGGCTCACTAGGCTAATCTTCCGCCTAGCGGCGCCGGCACACCGGGTTCTAGTCCCGGTCGGGGCACCGGATTCTGTCCCGGTTGCCCCTCTTCCAGGCTAGCCCTCTGCTGTGGCCAGGGAGTGCAGTGGAGGATGGCCCAGGTGCTTGGGCCCTGCACCCCATGGGAGACCAGGAGAAGCACCTGGCTCCTGGCGCCTGCCATCGGATCAGCGCAGTGCGCCGGCCGCAGCGCGCCGGCCACGGTGGCCATTGGAGGGTGAACCAACGGCAAAAGGAAGACCTTTCTCTCTGTCTCTCTCTCTCACTGTCCACTCTGCCTGTCAAAAAAAAAAAATGGGCATTGGGGTTGATTCCATATCTTAGCTATTGTGAGTTGAACGGCAATAAACATGAGGGTACAGATAACTCTTTCATATGCTGATTTCATTTCCCTTGGTAAAATCCCAGGAGTGGGATGGCTGGGTCATAAGCTTGGTCTGTATTCAAATTTCTGAGGTAACTCAATACTGACATTCCACAGTAGCTGTACCAGTTTAATTCCTACCAACCATGGATTAGGGTACGTTTTCCCACAAATCCACACCAGCCATGTTGTTTATTGATTTCTGTATGAAACCCATTATGACAGGGGTGAGGTGAAACCTCACTGCAATTTTGGTTTGCATTTCCCTGAGGGCTAGTGACCCTGAGCGTTTTTTAGGGTGTCTGTTGGTCATTTGGATTTCCTCCTTGGAAAAATGCCTGTTTAAGTCTTTAGTTCATTTCTTGACTGGATTGTTTGCTGTTGTGGAGTTTCGTGATCTCTTTTCATATTCTGGTTATTAATCCTTTAGCAGTTGCATAGTTGGTAAGTAATTTCTGCCATTTTACCAGTTGCCTCTTCACTTTGCTGAGCATTTCCTTTGCAGTGCAGAAGCTTCTCAATTTGAAGTAATCCCGTTTGTCAATTTTGGATTTGATTGCCTGTGCCTCTGGGATCTTTTCTAAGAATTCTTTGCCTATGCCAATGTCATGCAGGGTTTTCCCCAATGTTTTCTAATAATGTGATGGTATCAGGTCATAGACTTGGGTCTTCGACAAATTTGAGTGGATTTTGTGTAAGGTGTAAGATAAGGCATTGTCTGTGTATACAAAGGTTGTTGATTTTTGTGTATTAACTTTATATCTTGTTACTTTACCAAACGCTTCTCTGAGTTCCAATAGTCTGTGGGTAGAGTCTTTTGGGTCCCCCATATATACCCATATATAAAATCATGTCATCTGCAAACAGAGATAGTTTCACTTCCTCCTTCTCAACTTGTATCCTCTTGATTTTTTTTCTTTCTTTCTTTCTTTCTTTCTTTCTTTCTTTCTTTCTTTCTTTTTTTTTTTTTTTTTTTTGACAGGCAGAGTGGACAATGAGAGAGAGAGACAGAGAGAAAGGTCTTCCTTTGCTGTTGGTTCACCCTCCAATGGCCGCCGCGTCCAGCGCATTGCGGCCGGAACACCCAGCTGATCCGAAGGCAGGAGCCAGGTGCTTCTCCTGGTCTCCCATGCGGATGCAGGGCCCAAGCACTTGGGCCATCCTCCACTGCAATCCCGGGCCACAGCAGAGAGCTGGCCTGGAAGTGGGGCAACCAGGACAGAATCCGGTGCCCCGACCAGACTAGAATCCGGTATGTCAGCGCCACATGTGGAGGATTAGCTTATTGAGCTGAAGCGCCGGCCCCTTTTGATTTCTTTTTCTTGTCAAATGGATCTGACTAAAACTTCCAGGACTGCACTGAATAGCAATGGTGAGAGTGTGCATCCTTGTCTGGTACCAGATCTCTGTGAGAATGCTTCCAACGTTTCCTCATTCATAGGACAATGGCCATGTGTTTGTCATAAATTGATCGGGTTGAGGAATGTTCCTTCTATACCCAAGTTGCTTAGAGTTTTCATCATGAGAGGGTGCTGTATTTCATCAAATGCTTTCTCTGTATGTATTGAGATAATCGTATGGTTTTTGTTCTTCAATTTGCTAATGTGATGTTTCACATGGATTTGTGAATATTGTACCATCCCTTTATACCAGGGATACATCCCACTTGGTCCTTGCGAATGATCTTTCTGATGTGTTGTTGGATTTCATTGGCTAGTATTTTGTTGAGGATTTTGCATCTCTGTTCATCAATGTGAGCACAGAGCCCTCTGTGACAACCCACCCCAGGCACTCAGGGAACTCTCAGACTCTGAATCCTCACATGATGCTTACACAAAGACCCAGCCATACCCCACACCCTATCACACAGTCACAGATTTCCCACATTCATAGTGCGTAAGGCCCCATGGTCTCAGGAGAAGGGGATCTGCTTGCAGCCCCTTGGGCCCCCTCAGTCCAGAGAGCAGCAGTATGAGCCAGCTTCCTGCCCAATAAAAGTTGGCCAGTGCTGTGCCTTAGAAAGTTGAGTTCAGCCACCACCTTGATTGAGTGAGGGAAGGTTAGTCCTTCATAGGACTAATTGGCACCCTGCCCCCAACCAGTCATCCAGGCCAGACTCAAAGTCTGTGCGGACCACAGCATTTTATCCCTCCAGTAAAAAATCCCCCAGTTGTGTGGCCCACAGCAGCCTCTGCCCAATTTATTAAGGTAGCATGTGCTTCCTGGTCATTGCCAGGCACCCTTGTTGGTGATGGGAAGAAAGCAACATGCTCTGGCTTCACAGGATTAGGTGGGCACCACGGTCCCCATTAGTGCCCCAGGCTGGACTCAAAGCCATGTGGACTGCGAGTTGTCCCTCAGGCAATATCACCAGTGACAGAGCTGCTGCAGGTTTCTCTCACCTTGCTCCAAGGAGATGGCCTCTCCCTCACCACTGGCTGTGGGAGTCAAAGGTGGTGTCCTGGAGGCTGCATGACTAGCCCGCCCCACTGCCCCATGCTGTCCATCTTATTTTTGTAGAATATCTATTAAGGGGCGGTGCTGTGCCTAGCAGGTAAAGCCACCGCCTGCAGTTCCAGCATCCATATGGGCATCAGTCCTAGTCCCAGCTGCACCTCTTCTGATCCAGCTCTCTGCTACAGCCTCAGATATCAGTGGAGGATGGCCCAAGTCCTTGGGCCCCTGCACCCACTTGGGAGACCCAGATGAAGCTTCTGGCTCCGGACTTCAGATTGGTGCAGCTCCAGATATTGCAGCCTTCTGAGGAGTGAACCATTGGATGGAAAATGCTTTCTCTGCATCTATTAAGATAGTCATGTGATTTCTCTTCTGCAGTTTGTTAATATGGTGTATCACATTGATTGATTTGCAAATGTTGAACTATCCCTGCATACCAGGAATAAGTCTCACTTGGTCTGGGTGGATGATCTTTCTGATGTGTTGTTGGATTCTATTAGCCAGGCTTTTATTGAGGATTTTTGCACCTATGTTCATCAAAGAAATTGGTCTGTAATTCTCTTTCTCTGCTACATCATTTTCAGGTTTAGGAGTTAAGGTGATCTGGCATCAAATAAAGAATTTGGGAAGATTTCCTCTCTTTCAATGGTGTGTCAATTTTGTTTATTTTTTCAAAAACCAGCTCTTAGTTTTGCTGATCTTTTGTAATTGTTTTATTCAATTTTGTTGATTTCTTCTCTAATTTTCTCAAAGATTTTATTTATTTATTAAAAGGCAGACTTACAGACAATGAGAGAGAGAGACAGACAGAAAGATCTTCCATCTACTGGTTCACTACCCATATGGCTACAATGGCCAGAGCTGAGCCAATCCAAATCCAGGAGGCAGGTGCTTCTTCGGGTCTCCAACACGGGTGCAGGGGCCCAAGGACTTGAGCCATCTTCCACTGCTTTCCCAGGCCATAGCAGAGAGCTGGATTGGAAAAAGTGCACCCAGGACTAGAACCAGTGTTCATATGTGATGCCGGCACCACAGGTGGAAGATTAACCTACTGTACAACAGCGCTGGCCCTGATTTCTTTTCTAATTTTAATTATTTCTCTTCTACTAGTTTCAGTTTGGTTTGCTGTAATTGTTCTAGATCCTTGAGAGGCATTGATAGCTCATTTATTTGGTGCCTTTCCGATTTCTTGATGTAGGCACCTATTGCTATAAAATTTCCTTGTAACACTGCTTTTGTTGTATCCCATAAGTTTGGTATGTTGTGTTGTTATCTTCATTTGCTTCCAGAAGGTTTTTGCTTTATTCTATGACACACTGTTCATTCAGGAGCATGTTGTTCAGTGTCCATGTATTTGCATATGCTCTAGAGTTTCCTGAGTTGCTGATTTTCAGCTTCATCCCATTGTGGTCCGAAAATGCATGGTATGATTTCAATTCTTTTGAATTTGCTAATCTTGCTTTATGGCCTAGTATGTGGTCAATCCTAGTGTAGGTTCCATGCACTACTGAGAAGAATGTGTATTTTCTAAATGCAGTACAAAATTCTGTAGATATCTGTTGGTCCATTTGGTCTATAGTGCGAATTAAATTTGCTTTTTCCTTATTGATTATTGGTCTGATTGATCTGTCCATTGCCGAAAGTGGAGTATTGAAGTCCCCCAATACTATTGTGTTGTATTGTATTGTATTGTAAATCCCTTAGCATATTTTTTAAATAGCCCAGTGCCCTGTAATTAGGTGCATATACAGTTATAATGGTTGCATCTTCCTGTTGAATTGATCCCTTAACCATTATATAGTGCCCCTCTTTGACTAT